TGATCAATTTTGCTATTTAAGACTTCTGTCTTGCTGATCAATTCTGCTATTTAAGACTTCTGTCTTGCTTATCAATTCTGCTATTTAAGACTTCTGTCTTGCTGATCAATTCTGCTATTTAAGACTTCTGTCTTGCTGATCAATTCTGCTATTTAAGACTTCTGTCTTGCTGATCAATTCTGCTATTTAAGACTTCTGTCTTGCTGATCAATTTTGCTATTTAAGACTTCTGTCTTTCTATTATAGTTTCAAGATAATAGGCAAAAATAAAAAAAAATTTGTAAGGGTTCCGCGGAACCCAGTGTCTCGCCTACTTTTTCTGTTAATCGCAGGCTCAACAAAAATGAGGAAGTAAATCAATAAAAATATTCCTCTTGATACTATCTTTTGATTGTAAGAAGCTTCTGTCCAAGTTTGGTAAAAATCCAGGATAGTTTATGAATCTAATAAATGTTTAAAAACTTTAACTGCAGACTGAATGTAATGTTAACTGGAAGAAAACATAACTTCCTTCTAGATACTAGCATTTGATCATAAACAAGCTTCTGTCTAAGTTTGGTACAAATCCAAAATAGTATAAGAAATTTATTAAAATTTTAAAAATTTTAACCACAGAGTGAATGTGTTGTTTCCTGGCAGAAAATCTAAGTCCATTTAAAAGTAAAATAAGGAAAAAATGGATTTTTTTTTTTACAAAATTTACTTCTGGATACTATCTTATGATCATAGACAAGCTTCTGTCCAAGTTTGGTAGAAACCCAGGATAGTTTAAGAAAGTTATTAAAATTTTAAAAACTTTAACCACAGAGTGAATGTAATATTTCCTGGCAGAAAAACTAAGTCCATTTATAAGTAAAATACGGAAAAAATGGAATTTTATTTTTACAAAATTTACTTCTGGATACTATCTTATGATCATAAACAAGCTTCTGTCCAAGTTTGGTAGAAATCCAGGATAGTTTAAGAAAGTTATTAAAATTTCAAAAACTTTTACCACAGAGTGAATATTTGTGGACGCCGCCGACGCCGACGCCGACGCTGACAGAATGTAGGATCGCTATGTCTCGCTTTTTCGACTAAAGTCGAAGGCTCGACAAAAATGGTAAAACTTGTTATTTAAGAGCAATTACTCTTAAAGAAGTCATCTGGCAGTTTTGATGTGAATAGACAGTAGGTAGATCTCAACATTCCCAACATTTTAGCCACTTCAGATTTTCTCTATCAATAGTGGTTTTCAAGATAATAGACAAAACTAGCATTTTACCCGTATGTTCTATTTCAAGCCATGTCCTTCATGTTGGTTGGCAGGCGTGGCCATAAGACATATATTTTAAACTAGATATCCCAATGATGATTCTGTCCAAGTTTGGTATGTATGGCTCAGTAGTTTTTGAGGAGAAGACTTTGTGAAAGTTAACGGACGATGACTGCTATGACAACTATGAAAAATATGCCATAATACATGTACATAACTATACCAACCAAAACAGATGTTTTGCTTACCTAACTTTTAATTGTCTAAATGGAGGCAAATAGTTGTTCAGTGGAAACCTCAAATTACATTTTTCAGACACCATCAATGGACATAACTCAGGAAAAACAATATGTTAATTACAATGTTATTGTAGTCAAATATTTTTCTGCCTTTTTCTTTATTCTAAACGTTAATAAAACCTTATGATATCAAAACAAAGCAATTTTAACGATCTTTTTTTAAATTCATTAAGTTTGCTACACGGCTGAAAACACATATTATATTCATAATTACTCTAAATATCAGCACAACAATGTTAAATCTGCAAATTTGCGGAAGCAAATTTTTGTTCTTCCCTCGCTAAGATTCGAACTCATGCTGTTGAGATTGGAGACAACACCGCCTGCACTGTGTCCAGCGCTATATATATATATATATATATTCTTGCTTCAAGATCCCACCTTCACTGGTGATCCAATGGATGGATCTGTCGTAGAGTTGTCACTTGATAAGACTTACTTATATATATCCATTTTGTTACATCTTGTGATATGTTTATTTGGCAATCGCCATGGCAGTCAGCAGGGTTTAAGAACATCAGTTGTTCGACCTGTTAGTCAATGCATTTTGTTAAAATATACTTTTTCACTTTTTGGTCTTTTAGAAAATGTTGTTTGTGCTGTATTTAGACCCCTCTACCAAGAAATTTGTTTTGTATGCACACTTATAAAAATTGCGGTTTTTATCCAATGATGAGTTATGCCTTTTTCAACAGATTTTTATAGTTTGTTCTTATGTTGTAATGTTACACCACTGTTCAAGGTTAGGGGGAGGGTTGGAAGCTCGCTAACATGTTTAACTCTGCCACATTCTGTATGAGCCTGTCCCAAGTCAGGAGCCTGTAATTCAGTGGTTGTCGTTTGTTTCTGTGTATCATAATTGTTTTTCGTTCATTATTTTGTACATAAATTAGGATGTTAGTTTTCTTGTTTGGATTGTTTTACATTTGTCATTTCAGGGCCTTTTATAGCTGACTATGTGGTATGGGTTTTGCTCATTGTTGAAGGCTGTACGGTGACCTATAGTTGTTAATTTCTGTGTAATTGGGCTCTTGTGGAGAGTTGTTGCATTGCATTGGCAATCATACCACATCTTCTTATTTTTATATTCTATAGATATGTGAAAGGACTAATGTCTTGTGAAAAGCTGGAGGATGGCATAAAATAAATTTTCAAGATTTATTTTTGGAAAAATAAAATCTTATATCTCCTCTGGTGTAAGTATTATATCATAACCATATGCTATATGTTGCAACAATTTTATACTAGATATGCCCTCTTTCTTTGCTAAAAAAGTCTGGAGATGCTAACTGACCTGGTTCTATCCCAACCCAAGTAATCAATAAATTGCCTGTTTTAATACAGATTCTTATACCATTTAATGTGTTGATCCAGTATGACATTTTCATCATGACAGTATAAAAGATTTCTACATCCTCAGACAAAATTTGTAAACAAGTGGAATACATATACATAACCAACAATAAAAGAAGGATTCCAGATTACAGAAAACTTCACTGGAATGATTGTTACTACAAGACAGATTATATTACAATTTAAACCTTATATCATCATTCTGTAAAATCTGCATGTTTTTAATATGGTGACTCATATTTGTATAAAATGCACAAATAAAGATATTTTACTATTATACAACGCCAGATCAATTCAGCTGACAATCAATTATTTCACTTTTTCTTTCCTTTGACAGAAAAGCAAACTTTGTAGAAGACATATCTGATTCAGTACTTGACGTTTCTGTCAATCACAGAATTTTATAGTGTAGTTTAACTGAAGTGTAATAATGATAAATCTAACCATATTCAAATAAAAAGTCCACAGATAAATGAAATCAAGATCCAACTTCCCATTTGTAAAACTTTGTCCCCTCCCTTTGAAACAGATGATTGAATTAGAATGTACATTGCCGATATTGCTTGCCACCATCACTAGTTAAGTAAATCAGAATTTCTGTCAACTGAAAATTAAAAGTCATAACAGCATGCTACTATATATGTTTGTCCTTTGGTCTCTGGTAAATTGTTGTTTGGTTGGCAATCATAGCACATCTCGTTATTTTTATATTACTGAGTCGTAAACATTGGTTTACTAGATCTTTGTATGAAGTTGTTATAGTATAGGCTGTAAACACCTATTATACAAGTTTTACATTTGACATTTAGGTCTTTATAGCTTGCTATGCAGAATGGGTTTTGCTCATTGCTGAAGGCCTTACGATGACCTAAAGTTGTAAACTTCTACGTCATTTGGTCTACGATGGAGAATGGTCTCATAGACAATCATAACACATCTTCTTATTTTTATAAACATCCAATAGTTAAATTCAGATTTAGAAGAGACTTGATTTAATTGTTTTCTGTCATTTCTTGTTTTGTTTATTAAAATGGAGAAATGAAATGGGGAATGTGTCAAAGAGACAACAACCCGACCAAAGAGCAGAAAACAGCTGAAGGCCACCAATGGGTCTTCAACACAGAGAGAAAATGAGAAAATCCCACACCCGGACACGGGCTTCAGCTGGCCCCTAAAAAAAATGTGTACTAGTTCAGTGAAAATGGACGTCACACTAAACTCCAAAACATATAAATGAACTAAAATTAAAAAATATATTGAATTCTTGATCTAAAATTTATCAATTTTACCAGACCACTAGGAAAAAGAAATACATGTTTTCATATCCCCAAATCATCTATTTGTTAATTTCACTTATAATGAGTTTTTTTTCTTCTTCCCTCTGTTTTCAATCTTTAAACATTAATTCACAGCTCTGATCATCTTAAAAAGAATACTGATTAATTCACAGTTTTGACATCTAAAGTAAACTTGATTGTTAATAATATCAGAGGAAACTTAAAAGATAAGTTGACATCTCTGGCGAATAAAATCTAGACTTATAAATTAGTAAAAATTACTGTTTTTACTTATATTGCACACGATGCACAGGATTCAATCTTCTTACAAAAAGAAACAAGATCCTATTAAAGACAGAATTTCTCAAATCTCTAAAGCATGCAACTGGTTTTTGAAAGTAATTAAACATAAAGGTTTATGATTTAAAGCCCACTGAAGAACCATCAAAATGAAATAAAAGTTTATATTGTCTTATCATGTCAGAAAGCATTATCTTGTTTTCTTGCTTGTGAACATAAGCATAGAGATTAACAGTCAAATTTTCAAATAAAACTCATCAACACTGAAACAACACATTTTTCTAGAATCCCAGATAAAAGCTATGGAAATTAACTTTTTTTTAAATTGTCATTATTCATTGTATCATATGCTATAACCAATGTCTGTCGCTGAACCAATTCATTGTTTAATATGCTATAACCACTGTCAGTCACTGAACCCACCCTCTTACTTATAAACTATAACCCCTGTCAGACTACAGCTATTCTATGTCTGAGTGACAATATTTAAATGACATAGACAATATGAAGACTTACTGTGTGTGTATCCATATTCATCTTCTGTTTCGTTGTCCTCCTCCTCCACCTCCTCTTCATCATCATCATCCACTTGGTTCTGTGTAATCTCAGGTTTATTCACAATTTGTTTTTCTGGTAAATCTGGCTTGTTTAAAATTGGTTTCTGTGGTATGTCGGGTTTACTCAAAGCCTTAAAAATGTCAGAATTCTGTTCATTTGGCTACCCTTGTTATGGTCTAGTATGTTTTATTTATATGGTCTACAATTTTTGTTATTTCTATGGTCTATAATTTTTAAAAAATTTTATGGTCTACAATTTTTGTTATCTTTGAATGAAAACAATTACTGAATAATGAACAAACAGTATCTCAAATGTAACAAATATATGCTATATATATGTTATTTCACCACAAATAATAGACAACCCAAAGTACTAGCATGAGCAGAATTCTTTGATTGATGACAGTGCTGTTACACTGTATTTTTCAATATTTGGAGCTACTACCAAGGAGCCTTTAACTTTATGCTTAGCCAAAAATTAGGAAGGGGACAAAACTTTCAGCATAATGTTTTAGGTTAAAATCTATCTCCACATAATCATTTTAAAGTATACATATCACAAGAAAGTTGAATGATGCAAGACAGTTTGTGAAAAAACCTACTTCAAAATTAACGTAAAACATAAGATAAGTCTATCATTAGTACCAAGGATCTCTATTTAAAAAAAAATATTTAATCAATAAAGGCACTGATACCATATAATGACCATGAGTTTTACATCAGCACATAAAACAAATAAAAATATTCTGTCCAAGTGCTGGATTTTCTCACTGCTCTATGGTCGGGTTGTTGCCTCTTTGACACATTCCCTGTTTCAAGGATTTGTATAGTAAGTCTTACTATACAAATCCTTGCCTGTTTCTATTCTCTATTCTATTTTTTAAAATGTGAATACTATGAAAAACCTTGGAAAAAACCATATTTTTCATTATCATTTTCAATATAATAAATTGCTTTGCCGAGCACAGCTGGATACGACCGCAGAGGTCCAACCCTGAACAGTTGGGGCAAAAATGGACACAATATCTTGCGCTTGATACAGGTTTGAATTTGGATTGTAATTAAATATTTGACACATAATAGGTTTCTGACACAGAATAACTGTAGTCAAAGAACTTAGAATTGGTTATATGATTTGAATTTATATTCAATATTTTGCTTTTGTGCAATACACTATGCTGTTGCGAATTGATCATTCCCCCCCCCCCCCCCCCCAACCAATTTCATAGATTTCTATTTACATTTACTAAAGTTATTGTCCGGAAACCAAATGTCTTCGGATGATGCTGACGAAGACGACAACATGATTCCAATATACGACTGCAAAATTTTTTGCGGTCGTATAAAAATGAGGGAGGGATGTAATTCAAAATGGTAAAATACCTGAATCAAGGGTGTATTTGTTGCTGCCTGTAACTCATCATATGACTGTACAGGTTTGATTTCGGTCTCCAAATCTCTAGGCTGAAAACCGAAATAATAACTATTTCAACAATATTTTATGCATAACATTATACTTACAATGATGAGTAATCAATAAATACAAACTATTACTGGTATAAATTTAATGTACCGGTAGGATACACAATAATTTGATGCAATGCAATTTTGAGGCTAATACAAATGCAGAATTCATGTCTTGTATACCATTACACTGAAATATCGAAGCTTATAGCATCTGATCTGGTACATTTTGAGAACAAATTGTTTCACAGTTTTTGAGATTATTTTTCAAATCATCTTCATCAGGGAACAGTCTAAAATGAACTCTTTGGTCAGCTTGTTGTCTCTTTTGACACATTCCTAGATTCCATTTTCTATTCTATTCCCCCTATCTTTTCCACAACAGCAGCCAGATTACAGAAAGACATTGACAGCAATCAGTCAGTTTTTCCCCAGTGGAATCAGGAAAAGGAGGGGGGGTGTCTGTTGTACAGTCCATTTTTGTTTTATGATTCCTCTTATCCTTTTTTTAAGTATTATCAAATGCAGAAAAAAGGAAAATAGACTGGGTCTTATCAATAAAATAATACTTTTAATGAAATATTAATTAAAAATTCTTTACATGTTAAAAACAAAATATGGAGATCGGAAACATGTTTGGTGTCCATTATGTGCGAGTGATGAGGTTGAACAAATTTTATATTATTTAGCCAACTATTATCTTAACAACTGTTCAGTATCTATTACTGATGGGTTTTTTTTGTAAAACTATTTGCATGATCAGTCTTGGGAATTGTTTGATGTAGTTTTACATTTTAACAATCTTTGATCATATTTTACAAATAACCAAATCTCAAGAGAGATATCAAAATGCAGAATATGTAACACAATGTAGAAAAATTCTCAATAGATAATTTATGCTAGCTATGCACACAACTAAGAATATTTACTTAGCATATGTACTTTAACGCAACAGATTGGACTGTGTTTGTTAGCATTAAATCACTCCTTTTGTTATCTTGGAACAATAATGTTTAAAAGGAATCAAAATTTTAATTAAAATGTTACATGATGAAATTGTCCTGTAATTGAAGTTAAATCAACAAAATATTTGTTCAAAATTTGAACCAACCCATTACTCTTTAAAAAGTAGATGTTTATATAAAAACAAACAATCAAAAGGTGGAGGCAAGTTTTATTTAAAATAAGTAGATGTAGTATGATTGCCAATGAGACAACTTTTCACCGGAGATCAAAGACCTAAAAGTTAGCATATAAAGTCATTGTGCCGCCTTCGACAATGAGCAAATTTAATACTGCATAGCAATCCATAAAAGGCCAGTTGGTATAAAAATAAGGATCTTGTTGGTAGTTTATTAAAATGTGTAAATTCTTTGGATTCATTTTTGTTGTTGGATTGAGGATAATTTGTATTTTCATGGATATTTGATCAAAGTCTGCATACAAACCTATAGAAAATTGAACATTTAAATTGATGGTTCCCCTGTACCCATGAAATCCACCAAAAATTGGCATCCCATGAATAATAATGAATCCAAATTAACTCTTCATTATATCAGATTGAAACTTATTGAAAAGTATTTTTTTACCCTTGAAAGAAGACTTAATTCTACTACTCAGAATAAAACTTACACAGGCTGCATCACACAAACTCTGTACCACAAACTTGACTGGAGAACCAGAGTTCCTAATGGCATCTACTGCTTGGTCATGTGATGCATTCCGTAAATCTATACCATCAACCTATCAAAAATTATAGAAAAAAGGTTTTTAACTTATTCTGCAAAAGGCTATCAAAAGAATATTTCTCTAACTAAAATATACACCTACAACCATATAAAAAACAATTCCCCCCAAAAAAACCTTTTATCAATGTATAACTTCCTATAATATGAGCATATATTAAAGCAAGAATGCACATACTGAAATATCTTGCCTGCTTAACTGATATGATTGAATTTTTGTTGAAAGTCTTTATTTTCAAGGTTTAAAATAACCCATAATATTATCAATGAACCATGAAAATGAGATCAATGTCAGGTGACCCCTGTCTGACAGACATGTATACATTGCAATGGTTCTATATATCATATATAGATATATATTTGTTCTTTTACTGAAAAAAAAAAACCATGTGACACTGGACCATGGAAATGAGGTTAGGACAACAAGACAGATTATGCAGCTCTTTCTACATTCTGAAATACACTAAGCTGTACATAATTACACACCTTCAAGTGATGTAGACACTGCCTCTGCCAGATAGACATCATAGGCATCCTTATGTCTTACATTCTGTGTGACATTTGTTGCAGACGAGAAAAAATGAAAAGCGCCCCCCAAAAATAAGGTATAGACAGAAGTAACAGTGGATTTTTTGCAACTTATCTTTTTTTTTTAAATTACCTCTAATATACGATCTCCTGTTTTCAGAGTTCCATTTTTTCCAGCAGGACTATCCTCTAACACTTGCTTTATAAATATACCTGAGATGGCCTTGTCTTGTACATGGAACATATCTACTCTACCACCTGCAAAATGTAATTAAATCCCTTTGATAAATATGTGGGGCATAGGTCATTGAGACAGCAACCCAAGGAAAACAAAGTTTACTGATAATAAGGTTTACTCCCTTTTACTATGAGAAAGTATTAAATTTTCTTTTAAATTGGCTAATATTTCTTTTATTGAGGGCAAAATTTTCACTCACTTTAATCTAAATGAAAGCAAAAACTAAAACTCTAGTCCAGGTTTTGTTACTTCCATTAAATGTAATCACATCCTCAGGCTTGACTCTTGTTGTATGTACAGACTTTACTTCAGAAAACTTCCAGAATGAATGCTTACTAAGAGATAGTTTTATTTATTCTAATTTCTGAAACCACTACAATTAATCATTAACTGTCTTAATAACATTAATGGTACTCATTTTACTGCATGAGATGCGCATTTCAACAAATTAATGTCTCTTCAGTGATGCTCCAGCCCAAAATATTTGAAAATCCAAAACCAATTACAAACATTGAACAGCTAATAAAACCAAAAAGTACCAAAAGTACAGTAAAACCTAGACATTGACACTATACATTGCTTTGATGATGGTATCTCTGTGTGTGAAGTTGCCAGAATGTAAAATTTGACTATGATGTAAGCAACCTAGGTTAGTACATTTCATCAGCATAAATGTATGTCTGATACAAGATTTCTTATGTCATCCAGTCATATTAATTGACATTACATAGATTATCCCTCAAGATTGCTACCTATGAAAGAATAACTTATATTCTAATAAAATATTACCTCAGAAATTCAGAAACAATTTGTTTTCTTTATTAAAGTAAAAACTTTAACTCACCAACTATACTAATTCCAAGACTTTTGTCTGGCTGACGATATAGCTCAACTGTTCTGGGCGGTCCCCATGTCTGTTGTCCTATTCTAGTTACTTCAGCAGTCTTAAATTTCTCAGCAGCTTCAATTTTAACAGGACTGTTAATTTCATTCTTAGGATTAGCCAGTGGTGATAAATTGGCACTGTAATGCACAGAAATTTATATTTTGAAATACTTTTGGTCTAAATCTTAAATTAATAATAATTCACAACAGTTTAAAATATCTCTGCAGTGATAAAATTCACTACAGTCAAACCTGCTATAAAAGATTCCTCTATTACGCTAAAATTCTGTCTTGTCAGGTAATTCTCTTCTTGTCCTAATGTAGTAAATGTAGTACCTATGCATTCTAATAACATAAGCAACACGACGGGTGCCACATGTGGAGCAGGATCTGCTTACCCTTCCGGAGCACCTGAGATCACCCCCAGTTTTTGGTGGGGTTCGTGTTGCTTAGTCTTTAGTTTTCTATGTTGTGTCATCTGTAATATTATTTGTCTGTTTGTCTTTTTATTTTAGGCCATGGCGTTGTCAGTTTGTTTTGGATCTATGAGTTTGAATGTCCCTCTGGTATCTTTCGTCCCTCTTTTCTAAACCTATATTCAAAGATCACCTCTTTTATAAGGTCAGTTTTCTATGGTCCCAAGGGTGATCTTAATATACAGGTTTGAATATAGGCATATTCAGTGATGTATATATTTATATACTCATTAATGCTATACCCTTCATTTTAATAAAAGGAAATATGGGTATACAGGAACATCAATTTGATAGCAACCAAAAGACACAAAACTTAATTGCTAACACAGAAATATGTCTCGCCTATGTAACATAATCTTTTTTCATTACAGAGTTTTTAAAAATATATTTTATGTATAAAATATTATGTGTTATCAATAAGACAAACATCTAGAATAGGAAAACAGGCAAAAAAATTTAATTGGCAAAAATAATAGTTTTCAAGGAGCAATGTCAGAGGATGTGTACAACAGGTGAAAAATACATCCATCATGAAATCTGCTTACATCATCCAACAGTGCCATCTGTTGGTTACATTATATTTTACTGCTTCAATGCTAATGAAGTATTTCTATTAAATTAAAATTACATAATAGTATTGTTTCCTGGTAAACTGCTTAGAACAAATATGTTCTGTCAAACTGAAAATTAATTTTGTAACTTACGGGTAAAATAAACTTGATACAAATCATATGTACATATATTATATACTTATGTTAATTGTATCTGCATATAAAATACTTATAGAATCGTGGCATTTTTTGTTTTTGATACTGACATTATCAGCAAGAATATCGTGCCAGCCTGCTTAAGGGCGAGCTGATATTGGAGCTGATGAAGTCAGTATAAAAATATAATATGCCACATTATCCTTTTTATTGGCAATTTGTCCTCACAATATGACTTTCTTGGGTTAGAATTTGAAATTACATGAAATAATTCAAATCTTTTTTTTATAAAAGTGCATTTCATTTATAAATTGATGCACCTGGACATTATAAACATGAAGTTGCTGTATTATCATGTGACGTCATTATGTGTTAAAGAACCACATCCTGCTTGCTATCTGAACAAATATTAGGCAGCAGGATCAAAAGGAAACAGCACAAATTGCTGATAAAGCATTGTATATATATGTATATAACAGCTTCCAGTACGGACAGCGGTGCCCTCACAATTTAGATACACTATCTAGAGCTTAGTTGGATACTTATATAACACTGAAGTATCATAAAATTTTATATCATAATTGAAGCAAAAATTAGTAATTTCTTCCAAAAATCTCAAATGCCATTTTAATATTTTAGCAAAAAATCATATTCTATCTGACTTAATTTTTTGGAGTAAAATGTCAACAGGACCAAACGTTTCGAAACATCAGCAAATAACTTTGCAAACTTGACTCCAAATTTCATACAGTTTGATTAATAGACATAATCAGAAAATGGGAGATGCCTACAAAAAGGAAAATGCATTAACTGTTCATTAATTAATTAATATCCACCTTATTAATTAACATTAATATTGTGGGAGAACAAAATTGATGATCATATAGCATGCCTGTATAGTAAATCTAAAAATAATTAAACATGAAAGGTTAATAGTTGATATATCGAATCCAGCAACTCTGTGCTATTGATATAAGCTTCTGATGATGAATGTAGTAACATCTGTCTACAATATCCATGACAAAAATGGTCAAAATATAGACATTAAAAACAATTATTTACCAGTAATAATACAATAATACAAAACATATCAGATTGTGGATAAGAAATACTTGAGTATGGACTACAATTTGGAAAAAAAACTAAATATATTCTTTTCTCTAAGTTTGAATATATGACTGGCATGTGAATATAAGGACATAATTTAAAAAAAAAAATAATCAAAATTTTATATCAACAAAATCTTGCCTACTGAAAAACAAGATTGATAGCTTCAAATTATCTGAAATGACCTCTGTGAAATATCAAAGCCAAAATCTTTCCAAATTTCACAGGATTGATAATTGAAGAATTTTCTAAACTTCTTTATTTTGTATCAAATGGCTGACATATATGGCCTGTATGATGGCATATGAGTTACAACTGAACCACATTTGGGATTTCTAGACTAGAATCTAATTCATGACCAAAATATCTCTTTTCTGATCTCTAATTGCTGATTATTTTTTGCTGTGTACAGTTTCTTTCGAGCCACTATAGATTTTTCCCAAAATGCAAAAAATTAAAGGGCAATAACTTATTCTGGTGTCGTTCAATGGTTTCTCCTGTCTTGGAATTTGTATGGATCTTATATTGCTGATCATTTTTGCTTGTCAAAATTTCTCACCATCAAATATAGTTTTCAAAATATTAAACACCTTAAAAAAACATCATATAAGGGCAATAACTCCTTCAGGAATCATTCAATGGTTTCATCCATGTTGGCATTTTTGTTTTTTAAAATGTTGTATTGCTGATCATTTTTGCTGATTACAGTTTCTACCTTTTTATTATATTTTCCTAGATAAACGACAAAACCCGTAAATCACTAATTAATCATTATTTAAGGGCAATTACTCCCTAAGGAGTCATCAAATTGTTTCTGTTGTATTGGCCTTTTTGTAAATCTTGTATTGCTGATAATTTTTTACAGGAATGAAAAAACACAAACTTTACACTAGATACCCTAAAGATCATTCACCCCTAGTTTGGTTGAGATTGGTTCAGTAGTTAATTGACAACATGACAAGCTAAAGCTTTCAATTTATTAATTTGAATAAAATGAGACTGCAACAATGAATGTAGCTACTGCTTTGGAACACTATTTTGCTCAGGAAATCTTTTGTCCGTCGGATGATCCAAGGTTTGAAATCACTACTTCATCAACTTGATATGATAGCTGACATATAAGTATATTGGTTTCTTGAGATTCTGTTATGAATACACATTAATAATGACAATAGAGTCTGAACAATAAAGCCATGAAAAATTGTTGGTTGGGGGAGTAAAAAAACACTCTTGACCTTTGGTCAATACAACTTTATTAGATTACAAGAAAAGAGAAATGAATCTCTATCTAATTACGCATAACATATTTCCTCTGTGAAGATCTTGGTCTTTATATAGAAAACTTAATAAATGATACAGCTACTGACCCGTCTGATTGATTGATGTATATGTATATATATAAACAATATATGTATTTATCAACTGGATTAAACCCAGATAAATAAAAAAAATAGAGAAATTTTTTGTTAATCAATTGTTAAGGAATGGTAAATTACTTTTTTGTATAAACTTATAAAGGTCAAATCAATCTACAGAAACCTACACAGTATGAGTAACACGGTAAATGTCATCATCTTTACCATCAGCAATAATGTCACAGCATAGTCTTCTCAAACTTTAAATTTAGTTTTCCATAGGGTGTTAATTCAAAAATGATGTATTCTTACAGAGAGAATCAGTCTTAACTTAAAAAAAAAATAATCAGAATAATTAAAAAATCATTTTATAATAGTTATATAAAATCAGGGGATTTCACAGATTTTATTTAAAGAGAAGGCTTACTGTCAAAAGATATTGACTTATGCTATAAATCCACAGTATAACTAAGTACAAACTGTATGGAATTTCCACTCTTAAGGTGTAAAATTTCTTAATCCTGTAGAATCTGACAGTAAGGCAATATAAAAAATAAATCATTTTGCTTTTTTGTTGTGTCTGCTTCCTTTGCCTTCTCTCATCTTCTAAAAACTTGCCTCATACACCTTTTCAATTTTTTTTTAAATAGGCAAAGTCTGAGAATTAATCATATTTTGTACAAATACTATATACTGATACATGTACAATTTTAGATGGGAAATTAAAAAAAAAAGTAATTTTAATTCAACACTACTCGTTAGATACCAATTTGTTTGGGTACAGGCGAACCACGAATTTAAATATTCAGCCAATTACAAATTTTCTATGGGCTTTAAGGCAGACGTTGGCAAAACCATCAAATCAAATATCCACTAAAATGCAAGTTTTCCTCAATCCACGAAAATTGGTACCCATGACAATAAATGAATCCACAGTAGTTCCTGCCTCATCTCAAATTCTGATCTAAATATCTTATATGTGTGGCCTAATTAGTTTATCTGGTTAACCCTAGGTCTACTTATCAAAATGAAAGTTCAGAATTTAGCATTTTGAGCTATTTTTTTTAAGAAAGGCTAACTATTAAGTAAAAAGAAAATTATGGAGTAGAATACATTGTTATCAATTTGTCATTTTCTCATTCTGCGTGATTTTGACATCTTTTACCAATTTTAATTATCATGAGGACCTAATACAGTAAATACAGAGCCAGGAGCCTGTTGTTCAGTGGTTGTCGTTTGTTGATATGGTGCATAAGTGTTTCTCGTTTTTTATATAGATAAGACCGTTGGTTTTCCTGTTTGAATTGCTTTACACTAGTCATTTTGGGGACCTTTATAGCTTGCTGTTCGGTGTGAGCAAAGGCTCTGTGTTGAAGACCGTACTTTGACCTATAAGTTTTTACTTTTTACACATTGGGACTTGGATGGAGAGTTGTCTCATTGGCACTCATACTACATCTTCTTATTTCTAATTATGCTCTTGTCTCACATTC